TTTGTGTGCCTCATTAGGCTCCGGGGTCCTCGCTGCACAGAGAAGGTTAGACTCCATTCCTTGGGCTTACCGTCCCCCCCGCCAAGGCTATCATGGGAGTTTGACAGGGTTTGTGTGAAAGTCTTGGAATATGGTCTAAAGTTGGGAAAGTACAATGGGTTCAGATCTGGATCTAGGACACTCAAGGTAAAAGTCTTCTCGTCAAAGATAAGATAAAAATGAATATGTACCTAAAGTTGGGAAAGTACAATGGGTTCAGATCTGGATCTATTGAAGGACACTCAAGGTAAAAGTCTTCTCTTCAAAGATCAAACAAATAAAAGAAAATTGGATCGAAATGAAAAAAAACGGCCGCAGGATTTGAAATTTTGTTGTCACCAAAACCTAAACCCTTTTGATCTCACTCACTCCAGAGATACATTGTCATTTTTTCTACATTTTGCTGAATCCATCGCTTCCGGTCATGTTAACGGGGACACAGTCGCCGTCGACACCGAAACTCCGTGGCAATCAACAAGACGGGGCTCGGCTTATGCAGAGACCCGTTGACAGTTTCCATCTTGGCTTCCGCGACACAATTTTATTCGCTGAGGGTTTCCCTTCCTCATCATTGTCAATATCTGGGCGCTCAGCGAGACAGCGCTCAGCTCATTGTAAAGATTCGTTGTCACTCTCCGCTTGGGTCTCCGCAACCCAGTTTTGTTCGCTTGGAGATGTGACCTACATCATTGTCATCATTGAACATTCGACCGTTGGCGTGGCACGAGTTACACAAGCTCGACATCTTTTGAATCTGCCGACAGTCACGCGACTTCATTCAGGGTCGAGACCTTACCTCAACAGAGACACAAGCTACTGCTTAGTACTTACCAAGCGCCCATCCAAACCAGTCAGCGAAGTACGATCCCACGAGCTTGACCTGCTTTTGCATCTCTAGGCATGATTCAACTGAAACAGGCCGAGCATCGAACCTTGGTTAAGGACTTGACCAGGCAACGCGCTTTCACCGACTATGAGTCCAGACTAGCTCGCGATGTAGATCAGCCCTATCATCACGGACAGCCAGTAGCATTGAACCTTGGTTAGGGACTCGACCAGGCGACGCGCTTTCACCGACTATGAGTCCAGACTAGCTCGCGATGTAGATCAGCCCTATCATCACGGACAGCCAGTAGCATCGAACCTTGGTTAGGGACTCGACCAGGCGACGCGCTTTCACCGACTATGAGTCCAGACTAGCTCGCGATGTAGATCAGCTCTATCATCACGGACAGCCAGTCACGAGAAGGAACAGTATGATAACTTCTCGGCTGATTCGACGCATGAACCATGGAGGGCTGAACACACGAATCAGGAGTTGTCATGCTTAATGTATATAAACTGCGTTGATCACATCCTTAAAATCTCACTATCTTCCAATACTAGATTCATTGATTGAATCACTTTTGCCTTATTATCTCATTTTCGCCTCACTATATCAATTGTGCAACTCGATTTATTGACTAAATCACCCACCGTCACCTTTCTCACCCAACGCAAGATCCAAGATGTCGAAAACTGCCACCAAGACCGGAACTCCAACCCCATCCCACACTGTTAGAGTAAGCTTCATGGGCAAAGCTGGAACTGAGGTCAGCGTAATTAACCTTGCCTCATGTTGGAAATCGCGTTGACACATTCTTTCTGACAGGCCTTTGCCAGGCTCAATGGAGCGAAAGGTTTCATTTCTCATCATGCATCCATCGCGACAACTGGAATGAATGGCGGAACTCCGTTCGAAAACCCCATACAACTGTCCTCTTACGGATCACAAGCTGACACACTCATACCTCGAAATGTCTACGCGATGAATTGCAAGCTCATTGGCACTAACAACAACACCGACGATCAACTTCACTTCGAAAACATCAATCGTATCAACCTTGGCAGTGTCGACCGCTTTGGCGAGTTCTTCGTCGGTGAGCTCATCGACAAGATAACCATGATCACACTTGGCATAGTTTATTCCCGCAATTTGATTCAAGATCCGGCTCATGGGGGCAAGAGTACAGTAGTCATAACTCTCAAACACACTGATTATGATCCGTTGGTCAGTGTTGGTCGATTTTGCTGTCAAAGTTCTATCTGACTATTCTCATTCTCAGACTCGCGGTCACGTCACCTTCTTCACGAGGCACTTTATTCCCCCAGCGCGCAATATGGAGAAGGCGCAAAACATATGTCAACTTGGTCGAGAACTGCAATTGACGGGTCAGATCAAAGATTACAACACGGAACTTTTCATGTGGGAAAACGAAGTTAGTATACACAGTCTCCTTCACCAACCGTACACTGACGATCTCTTTTGCCAGGTCACTGCGATTAGTGTATGCTATGGCGAAGTCCAATTAGCAACTCCTTCTCCCGCTCGCGGTCCTGGGGGTCCTTCAGGTGGCCGTGTCCCATTGTCACTGTGCGTAATGTTCTTCGTTTTGATATGACACCACGCTCATCATTTCTTTCCAGTGGTCGAACTGTGCGACCCGTAGCCAGCACGTCATCAGCTGTTCCCTCCGTCACCAGTGAAATACAAGTAATCCCCAAAACCGAAGTTGAACCCGAACCCAACGAGGAGGAAGAAGAAGCAGAAGCCGACTCTCCGCTCGCCGACATGACCAACAACGTCTATGGCAAACGGCCACGTCGTCACTGAAGGCGTTAGGTCCTCTACATTACGACGTTTAGTCACTTTTCAAGATGGTCCTGATTTGCATTATGCCATCATATGGATACTGTCGCGTTACTCACTTTATTGTATCATAGCTGTATATTCTGTCTATATCCAAATCTTCACCTCTCTGTTATCAACATGTTAATCATTTCTTCCTATCATGCATATTCACAACACTCTTTCGTTTTATCATCATTGTTTTACCACTGCGTACATAGTGATAGCGTAGCTACAATTCGGTGCTTATGAAGAAATTGTTTGTTGACCCTCATTTCCTTCACGGAGCCTATGAACCTCATGCCACCGGCCTACCCATTACGAACCTACTATGGTCGCTGCCGTCTTTTCAAGTCATGGCGTAGACTCTTTGAATAGGTTCGCGAGTTCTCTATGTAATGGGCAACGTCCGCCTCACGGGAACATCAAATTCATGGGCAGCTAAGAGCGTTCAACGTTGCCTGACATCGGCGATTCAGCCCACGACACCTGGAATTCAACGAGTACTCTGTGTAATGCACAACGTCCGCCCCACTGGCAAATCACTATCACGAACAGCCCAGGGCGTTCATCATCCTCATGACATCTGCGACCTGGATCAGAACACCTGGGCTCCAACAGATTGAAAGACTCTAATCGTTTGCACGCCCCTAGGATCCTGTTCCGCAGTCTTGCAAACTTGCTTATTTACTACCGCAAAACAGAGTCAGCCCCAAATAGCGGCATGAGTCGTTCCCGAAATCATGACGATGTGGTGGTCAATGATTTCGACCAGCGCCTTTTTACGCCCGCAGTGACCAAATCCGTAGTTCCGTTATCCAGTCCCCGTCGTCAATGCATGGCACTTATGTAGCCAAAAAAGAGTGCCACGCCTAATCAGCTATCGCCGCTCAATCCTTTGTAGCTATCTGTAAATGGTCCTGCACCAGTTCCCTATGGCTGGGACATTGCGACTGACCCGGCGAGACATACTCCTGACTAGACTTCGTTTGTCCCAGACGAATTGGGCAACGCTGTTGACACTTGCAATAGAAACCATTTCCCACAGGCTAAAAGCTATAAAGCACGATATAGTACCCTGTCATTGTTGAGCACACTACATTTTTTCTCACCTTCCTATCTTAGACTCATATCGACATTTTACTAAATGCAGATTTACTCAGCCACCAAATATCCTCTTCGTTTCAGTAGCATTTTTTGGATCAAAAATCAAGTAAGCTACATCGTATTGTCCATCACTGCTCTGGCGTTGACACTCTTTTTAGGTTTTCTCAGATGACGTCGCACTCGATTCCAAATACACATTCTTCGAAACCAATGTTGTTGTTAACGATTCGGGATTCAGAGGTCACAGTCTCAACGTAGGAAGTTTGAATGACAATATTCACGTTAAGAGCAACCATGCTTATCGACTTGATGGCCAAGTGGGAATCGCCCGTGACGGCGGCAAATCATTGTTTTTCGAAGACACTGCTACAACAATTCCAATTGACAAAGCTGAAGTTCGCCCGCAATCAATGGCTAATAATGTTTTGGCACAAGGTCACGGAAAGATCGTTGATTGGTTTGGCAGTGCTACAGACGACTGCATACCAATTGAAGTCATTAGAGTTTCACATCGATACCCGGACGTTATGGTATGTATTATTAACACTTCTTTTTCAATTCACTATTGACTAGCTTTTCACAGGGACCACAACGTGAAGAGTTTTTTGCCAATGATCTTCTTCCGAGTCACCTCACATTGCCCTTGGACATTGAAGCTCTGACCGAAGGCAATATTATCAGCCTCCGGGGCAAAGTGGTCGCATACGAAGAATCCAACAGGACCTGGATCATCGAAGTCAGCGATATTTCTGTTCTGAAACTTCATACGTTACTGACGCCTTTTCAATAGGCTACAGATATTGACCTAATCTACTCTTTGCCGAATCGGAGACGAAGTTTGCGCCAACAAGGACTGCCACCGCAATAAAGTGCCACGAGAAATGATATCGCACCAAACTCCCATTCCTTGCCTATCATTCCGATTTAAGATGCTGGACCATCGACCAGCAGCGTTCCGTTGCAATTGCTCAATCGTCACTTATTTGCTAGTTCCCTGAGTACCATTCTCTTCTGACGCGTTTTAATCACCGCAACGTCACGATTTACATTGTTATAATCAATCACCGACATAGATGTAAATAATTTTCTCGACTTTATTTGTGTATATAATGTTTCACTCTTCCAGCTACACAGATGTTAATCGCTTTGTCAATTTTATGTACATATATCTTCCGAACGATTTTCACAATGCGCATCTCAAACGGTTTCGAAACACATGACCTCTCAGTGTGAGATGAAGAAGAAATCCCGCGACGACGTGTTCAGGGCGTGACGATGTGCCCGGGTTACAGTGGAAATCTCAGTGAGATCTGGCCCAATGTCTCGATTTTGTTGATGTATATGTTAACTCTCAAGTTGACGGCCATCGAATCATCATCCAGGCCTGTATCGTCTCCCATTTGGCGAAATCTTCTACGACCCGTTCCCTATAGTTTTCATTTGCCCATGTCAGGATCACAGTGGAGACCACATGAGGCGACGCCACTGATCATGCGTTTAACTGGCGTTATATCGTTACACAATGAAGTAAGTAGAAACAAGCTCCGTACATTGCACAGTACTCATGTAGAGCTCAGGTTTATTTGAAAGGCAGCGGCAATCATTGGCATCGGTGCTTCGAAGTTGAGACCACTAATCCTCTTACACGCCGTTTCCCGTCAAGTTTTCTTCTGAACATCCACGACGAATACGGCTTTGAGGAAGGTACAATTGTTACCTTCGAGGGTGACTTCATTGCTTTGAACGACGGGTCTCAGTCAATGGTTATCCGGCCCAATCCTATTCAGACGATGTCGATTTCCTCAATCTCAGAATTATGGTCACACTTAAATATTGTCAAAGTCTTCAGTCGAGGACGTGTACAAGCACACAATGTTACAGAAGGACATTGGGACAATTTATTAGTCGAACACAACGTGTATGTGACCCACGTAAGTTGATTACGATACTCCAAGCAGTATGGATACTAATTGATAAATCTATAGCTGGATAGATGGGTAGAGTTCACGGCAATCTACGTAGACATTGGCAATATTGTAATTTCAGCATTTCAAGGATCATTATTAGGCGCAACGTTCGCCTTTCGTGGTACTCTTCTAGAATTCTGTGATATGGGCCACATGTGGGCAGTACACGTAAGTTATCATCATTTCAATTTACCGGCTCAGCAATGAATGCCAATAGTTTTCTTCCAGGTTACAGAAATTATTGCAGAAGAGAGCCATTCTTCGTAGGTCACAATTATATAACACTCTGAACTGGCTAGATTACTGTTGTCCATCGACACCGCGTCGGCTCAACGTAACATAGGAAGATCAGTGTACCGGATCTGCACAGAGTCTCTTTCAAAAACTTAGATCACTATTGCTGCAGCGTTTGTAACCTGTCAACCAGAAGCCATTAGCAATTATTGTCATTGTGACGAACATCACAATCACTTACGCGAATAGAAAATGTTGAAGTTGTATCATTGAATCCAACGATGTTGCCCTCAATGTGAACTACATTACCGGTCGCAAAGGTTTCTGTTCCAAGGCGGAGCAGCGTCCATATGTTCACCACGTATTCCGTGGTAAATTCCTGAAATCGTAACATCTGCAAACACCGTTCTCAGTCATTGTCACATAAGTCAGAGATTCCGACGTACTGACGGGTCCCAATTTCGGTGTAGCACGGTAAATACCCATGTCTCCCTGTCATGGTCATCTGGGTGTTCAATCACACGCTCAATCACTCTGCCATGCCCAGCGGTGGTGGTTCGATTCGCCAGTGAGCAACGAGTAAGAGAAAGTGGCCCCAGACAAATGGTTGATCCGGTCTCCGGAAAGAGAGAGACAATGTTGTTAGAGTTTTCACCGAGGACTGAGGCCTCAATTCTGTATGCGTAATTTGAAGCGAGGGTGGAGCAGGGCGCAGCTGAGGCTACAATAATTGGAATGTTGGCAATCCGAACGTTCCGGCTGTATAGATACGATGACCAACGCTGGTGCGTGACACAACTATTTTGTGGGGATGCAAGCTGACAAGAGAAGTTAGCCAAGTTCAGATGATGCCGATAGCGGACTCCACTTACTGCCGCTCCTAATGTTATGACGGTGTGGAATCGAAGTGGAAATACACGACGCGCCTCAAGATTTTCGCTCTCGCCAGCCATGCTCACTTTCAGACTGCTCTCCGATGCTAAAATCAATGACTTTCGTGGGCCGGTTGTTGTTGTATAAGTAGCACCGAAAGATGTTGCCGACACGATGCAACAGTTGACAATGGAATACTCCGGACTAGATTTATTATGAATGCTCTTGAGTTTATAAGCCAAAAACGAACGTTGTTCAATGGGCTTGCGCGTTGATGATTCCGACGATCTCAATGCGCACCGGTCGCTTGGTTGATTTCATCACCACACGCGCTGTCCTGAACAGTGCAAAGTAACCTATTCAGGTCCAGCGCGTCGCCATCCACTGTGATAAAGCTAGACTGGGCCCGTTTGGCGAACATCTAATGAGTCTGCGCCAAACCCTGAGCTCCATGATTAATCCGGATGGCAAGTGTTGGAGGGGTATGTCAATGAGCGAAATCAATTAGAGCGACGATGAACACTTGCACGGACGTAAAAATGCACAGTTGCAATCTATGCATAAAGGCAATAATGTCACCAACACATTCTGCCCGTTGTATCCGCCAATTCCATCAAACTCAATCTCTTCAGACACTTTCAACATCAAAATTGTAAGTCCTCTCTAATAGCGTACTATTCGTGGTAACTGATTTCGGATTACAATGTGGCTCAAGGTCAATGGACAATCCACAGATCGTAATCGTCACCATCGCTGGAAGCGCTCCTCTGCTCTGTATCACTGCCGTCAAATATCAGCAACGAGGTCGGCCGCATGTCCATTTCATTCCATTATATCGCCATCAAGCATCGATTTCGGTCAGTTTTAACGACATACACTCTAACCTGCAGCATGCTACTCACATTGTATTCTTTTTTATTAGTCGCAGCTCAATGTCAACACCAACGAGGATCCTCAACGCAGCCAGAATGTCGACGTAGCTGAGATTCATCTGACTGACATGAGTGTCACGAATGCTTAAATCACGGTCCATTGATCTCTTTAACATCAACGTGTCAATGAATGTGCGATAATCAGCGTTGTTTTTTTTACACTTTCATAAATCTATATATATAACGACTACACCGACAACACAATCACAATATTCAGTTTGGCAGGAGATCAATTGCTGAAATACAGTCGAACGAGGTCTCAAGTCTCATCATCATGCCAGAGGCATTTGCGTTGCGGTATTCGCCTTGGTAAACAGAAGATTCAGTATTGATACATTGAGACCAGAAAGCATAGCGAAACGATTAAACACACATTCAGTAACCAAGTGTTGTCGCTTTCGTAATATCCTTGGACGTTGCCTTTGAAGTGTAGTACGTTGCCAACGATCAATGAGTCGCTGTCCGCAGCATTTGCGTCGGTTTGCGAATATTGATATCTGGCTACAAACTAACGTAGCAGAGATCCTAATATTCGAACGCCTCAATACCAATATTTAGTCGCCAACTCTACCATATGAGAAAAAGAGTGATGCACAAACCGCAGGGTCCCAATCGCGGTGGGCTACCTTCACGACAATGTTGCCGACACTTGGTCGGCCGACTCTTTCTATGACTCTGCCCTGACCACGAATGTGGAGATCATTGGACAGAGCCCCGTGACACGGGTAGAGCATAGCACTTGGTGCATTAGCATAGTAGTCGGGATAGAGGACTGGGGGATAGCCACGGTGACTGGTGATGAGATTTCCGCTGATCGTGTAGGAGACTCCAGTGGTTATAGCTCGGGTGTACATGCTGTCAGCCACTAAGATCGTTTTTGGCAAATATGAGTCGTCCGTCATGATGATTGTGGCACTGTAGTAACGTAGTGGAACAATCGCGTTCCGGCGTCCCTCATCCTAATATTTTTTCATTAGTATTGGAACATCCTCAACGACATAGACACTTACGGCATTGTCTAGGTGGACACACCACTAATACGCAAAGGGAATGGATGATTCGTTCTTGCTGTCCACATTCGATGTCGAAGTTCTTGGGCTTAGAACG